ACTTGACATATTATTGTTGACTGGCGGCTCACCTGAAAAAAAGTGTTTCAACCACAGTTTGAATGTTAAATTCTTTGGAAGTGCTGCATGATGGGTTTAGATCTGCTGTAGTTGTATCTTCAGGTGCCACTGTGCATGTAGTATTCTCCTGTGTATGTGATGCTCTCACCTCAGATGCTGCTAAAAAAGGAATTTGAGTAGGTACAGTGTATGCAGCAGGATCTATTTTCTGTGCAGATGTTGGTATTATATTATCTGTATCAGTATCTACATGTATATCAGCCTGAATGATTGTACTGTTATTAGTAGTTGGCAGATTACTTGTATTCCCGGACTGTAAGCGAATGATTTCCGCTGCCAATTTTGTATAGTCAATATTAGTTTTTTGTTTTTTGTTAGTTGAATGGTCACTTTGACCGGATTTTCCTCGTTTGGAAGGCATCTCCTGGCAGTTTGTTGAGTTGAATTATGACATCAGATACTGAAACAGAATTAGATTGTTAATATATTTTTTTGTGTAAAATATACACAAAGAAAAATGAATGCCAATGGCTTATATACTAAGTGTGGTTTGGTGTACACAATGTGTACATGCATGATATTTATAGGTACAATGTACCAAATGTGCTTACTTTGTAAGCTGAAAAATGCAACTGTCTGTGCAATTTTGTTTGACCTACAATGTGGTAGAATAGCAGAGTGTATACAATGTGCAATTGTGAGGTACAATGTACTAATAATATAAGCTCCAAAATGCGTAAGCACCTCGATGCAATTTACAATAAGTAAATTATATATGTATATGTACAATGTACATAAAACATTGGAATTAAGCCTATATAATGTTAAGGCAGTTATTTATACTGATGTACTTTAAACTCTAGTATTAAGTATTATATAACAGATTAATTTACCTAAATGCACAATGTAATACAGTGTCACTGGTTGGATGTATGAGGTAAAGCAGAATCAACACTTTTAAAGTATTTGCGCATTCCAAAATGGTTAAAGTTCACTCCATCAAAACATAAAAAAATCTAAATTATCCCAAAAACCATGGTGGTGCCAAAAAAAAATTGCATTTTCATCATGCTCTATGATTTTCTCTTGTAAAAGTGTGTTTATTTGAATACCTTTATCATTATATCCTGCATATGTTACAGATTCTCTCCGATATAACAACTGTCCAATAATGACATGGTTTACATTTAAACCATAGTGTAAATACATAGCGAACGCAAAAATGGCTTGAGCAATTTGGTATGCATTAGTTCTATTCGCTGCATCATTTCCCCCTATTTGTAGAAACATTATGTGAGGGTGATAACTAAAAGTACATAGTTGTTTTTACTGAGCTAGTCTGGCTACTGTTAGTCCATCCTGTGCAAGACAATTAATTAGAAAGTTACTCTTCAACAAACGCAGATTATCAAATTTGTAAATACTATTCATAAAGCGACTTAGTCTTCTTATAAAGCTGTGATCCAATAAAGTAACTTGTATTTTTTTCCATTTAAAGACTTCTCCATAACTGTTGACTAATGATTACACTAGCTGTTTATTTCTGAAATTTGCATGAGTTGAGAATACACAGAGTTGTTTACATTAGAAAATCGGTCACAATGTCACGTGATTTTTCCACAACATAATGACACGTGACTCTTTCGTAACAGAAACTATTGCATAACATGAACACACGACCATACTTAAGTTTCTAAAATTCATAACGAATATGAATAAATCCTCATCTCAAGTTAACAAATAGTATTTTTACTTAGTATAATAGTCCCAGATATAGGTCAACAAGTTTGAGGACTTCTTTTACTTGATTTATTTCGCTTAACTGGGCGGAGTTTAACCCGTTCGCTCATTATAGACCAGTCCATCTATAGACAGGTGTTTTGGGATAAACTCATCAATGAAGTGTCCAGTAATGGTCATTGATCCGGTTAAAATATGTAAACACTACATGTGTATTCGCAAAAAAAATAATGAGACACAGCCGAATTTAAAAACATGTAAAATTGTCACATTTTGGAATTTGTGGATATGAAAGTAAAACTATAACGATAGCAGTTGCAACATCTGCATATGTCGTTATTCTATAATGTTTTGGTGACACTGATAGGTGATTAGAAATCAGTTATAATTATAACGGCAATCATCCTTATCACACACATCTTCAAATAGACTGTCCTTGTGCAAATTGAAATGTAAGCTCCGCCCGATCAGTTGAAAACACATTGGTAATAATGTGTATATGAACTACTCACTTTTTGTAACGAGCTCTCGCTGAATAAATATTAATCATTAATAAAAATGATGTATAATGTTTGCTGTGAATCAATTGTCAACAGAGTGTATATATAAATCAAAAATTGGCCAGAGAAAATTTTGCGATCTTTCTTGTCGCAGATAAATTTTTACGTCATAATATATCTGTTATTTGATTGGTTGGTTAAATATATAGATTAAATAATTATGCCATATACACCCAGTTCAAATTGACTATTTGATTCAAATGGAAGTTGTCCACATAGACATAAATGAATTTATAAAATAAATTAGATTATGATTAAAAGAATCTGACCAAATTGGAAAGTGAGAAAATACCGTGTTATTGAACACAGGAGTCAAATTTATTTTGCGGAAAATGATGACAAAATAGGCACTTAATTTCAAAAATGAGAATTAAGTATTCCAATATTTGCAATGACATTCGAAATTTTAAGCAGACAATGTTTAAGTTAAAAGTTTTAAGTTCTTATATCGATTTTTTAATTTTTGGGTGAAAATACGATTTTTTAAATAACAAAAATTCCAAAAAGAAAATTCGCGTATTTTCCTTAAATCAATGGTTTTGATAAGAAAATAACACTCTTTAAATACTAGACCAATTAAGCAATTATTAACCTTGGTACGGTGTATCCTATTTCATTATATATGGAAAATACGTCGCCTTGTATCGTTTCTTTTGTTAACTAGTATATAATAACAAACAAAATAAATCATATTTTCCAAGCCTAGAGTATCAATCAGAAGACAAGAATATTGGTATCGTAAATTAAGATTACGGATTTTTCTTAAATGCCGTGTGTATATTGGACTTTAAGTTCACCTTTGATTTATTCTAGAATTTCTACATTGTTTCATTTTTGGTCGAAAGTACATTGAACAGTGAAAAGACTTTAACTTTGTATTTATGATATTTTCTATCTCCCTGATCCCTTTTCTGTTTCGGTTTGGCTATACTTTTGGTATTTTTTTGTCATTTCAGCTCTGCAACGTTTATTATTAGGTTTTAGATTTCAAATACTGGTATGATGACATCGAGTATCACTGAAGATACATTTATTGTCGAAATACGCATTTGGTGCAGTAATAATGTACAGTTAATGTTATTAAATAATATTGTATATTTGCTTGTCTCTAGTCGGGAGTCTGTAATTCAGTTGTTGTCTTTGTTGCTGTATATCAAATATATTTGTTGTTTTGTACGCATATTAGACCGTTGGTTTTCTCGTTTCAAGTGTTTTACATTTTTGTCATGTCGAGCGTTTTATAGCTTGCTATGTGGTATTGGTTTTGCTCATTGTTGAAAGCCGTGCGATGACCTGAAGTTTCTAACATCTACGTGTTTAGTTTCTGGTGGATATTTATCTTATTGACAATCTAGTAACAGATGACATTTGGAAACACAACAGATCAGTCATTGTCAGCAAACATTTAGAGTATGTTTTTTTACAATTCCATATGAAAACTTCAAATTATTTAACTGTTACTCTTCCGAATTTTAATGATAAACTTAAACGTTTATTCAGTTTGTAATTATAATTGAATGTGACCCTAAACGAGATTTTGCAGGGGGGTGTTGGAAGATCTTCATGTCGGAAGCGAAGTGAACGGTAATCTTAGATACTATTTAAAAACAAATTGATTTTACTGATAATTTAAGTCTACACATTGACATATATTTGCTAATATTCCTGTCCGTTGGTCTTTTAGGGACATTTGTCTAACTGGCAATCACACTTCGTCTCCTTATTTTATATTAAGTCGAAGATTTCAAGAGATTATTTTTTTTAATTTTGAAATAAACAATAGAATTAACGTTTGAAAAGACGAAAACTTCAACCTTTACTTATTGAGCAAATTCCACGGATTGAAATATTTTACTCTTGTACAAAAGTAAAACTTTCTATAAGCTGAAAACTTATAAGTTAATAACAAATTAAATTCATTTTATAAAATTTGTGTTCGCCCGTTGCTCGCGACTGTTTACTGACTGTGAAGATTTTCAAAGAAATTTTAGACAGTTGTTGAAACTTCTGCTGCTATGATATGGGAAAAATGCTGGAAATGCAATTAGTTTTAATGTTAGTTGTAGGTTAAAAATATTTCATTATGTTTGTCTTACACAAAATGTCTTCTCTAGTGTATTTGTGTTGTTCGGATGCTGTTTCATTGCCGTATAAATCATTTCACTCATGAAAGATAATGATAAATATGGCGTTCACATTGTGTCAATAAGAAAAGTAGACAAACAGTAAAGCAAGAGAAACATATTATTATGAAGCAAATGACACCAATAACCGACAAACTCTAACATTAACATTCGACTCTGATTTCCCAAGTACTAGTATACGTTTTGTCGGTATAGAACAAACAAAGATACAACAAACAAAAAAGCGTCTCCCAATTTCCCTATGGCGCATTTAAATGCACAATTAACAAATTCAATAAAAACAAATTCTAATATAAGTTGTCCTTCATTTTGTTGCCGGGAAAATAATATAAAATGATGTGTAGTAAATGAACCCGTCGAATGATTTGTACTGATTGTTGTTTCTCTTCAAATGACAAGATGCTTTGCAATCACTGCCATCATGTTAGGTAATACATATAGAAAATCCCTTTATTTACAATAACTGGTAACTGTTTTAATATTTTGAACCTTTTATAATTATAGACGAAAAGTTCCGCAGAAGAACAAAGACGAAATGCGGTACAAAGAATCTACATTAGAACTGAATAACAGTAATATCTATTCTCAGGTTGAGGAAAGAGGTAAGATAACATCATATTAATTGTCATAATCAAGTCGGTTTTCCTTCCAGCCTGTTGACATTTTATATTTCAAGATTATATGCAAATGTAAGAACTATACAATAAAATACAATGGAGTGACTAAATTAAATTTAAGTGCAAATATTTTTGTATTCTTGGCTTTCATTTTTGCTTATGTGCTTTGTCTATAGAGTGTCGACATGCTATTTTGTTTTTCTTTGTTGACTAAGTGTTTGTTATATAGTGATTCAGATTATAACACAATTTTGACTGCTGTACCCAAATTTTTTTATATTTTTACCTTTTATGTCTGTTTGTGTTTCTCACACATTGTTGTCAATATGATGGAATGTTATGCGACTGTTTTACAAGTGAGAGGTTTAGCTAGCTATAAAACCAGATTTAATCCCCCATTTTCTACATAAGGAAATGTCTGTACTAATTCAGGAATATGACAGATGTTGTCAATTCGTTTGATGTGTTTGAGCTTTTAATTTTGAATTTGACACTTTCTCTTAATAGATAGAGATAAGATTTATTTTATTAAAATGTCACCATCCATCACAGTATCTATATATATATATACATGAAGTCATAAGAACCTAACATTTAGTAAAAGGATGCCAGCCGAAAACCACTTATGCGACACTATCATTAAATCAAATATCTAATACATATACAAAATGACAACTTTTTTACATGTAAAAAGTATTTCGTAAATAAAACAAAACATACATATATATTTTTTAGATTACAACATGTTTTCGTCGGTAAAACATAGAATAAAGGGAACTAGATAAAACAAAGAGGAACCATATTCTCATTATACATAAGATAACGCATAAATAATCAAAATCAACATTTAAAAGACAGGCTTTGGCATATAAATCATGTCTGATATCAGAGTAAGAACAACAATTAAAAAGAAAGTGCTTCTTATCTTCAATTTGGCCACTATAACAAAAAATATACAAACGATCTTGTAGAGGTTCTGGTGGTCTAGCATATCGACCTGTTTCAACTTTAACTTGTAACGAACCAGCTCTGAAAAGTGACGTTGGTGGCATCTTCTATTAACAAACTTTAGATAAGGCTCCGTACCAATACAAGTTTTAAACAATCTATCAAATCTTAGTTTATTACCATTCACATTATTTTTATCATGCCATAACTCCAGGTACCAAGATTCTTTTTCAAACGTTTGTATAGAATCCCATAAATTACTCAAATTGATTTCATCTTCTACATTTTCAATCACATTATATTTAGGAGCTAACTGTAAAACTCTATAATCCCACGACGATTTTCTTCTAATCGCCCAGGTATGAACCGTTTTACATATTATACTGGTATTGTCACACTTAAGACGATTCCATAGTTTGAATATTTCAACTTTTAAGAGAGCATCACCTGATAAAAAAAACCCATATCACTTCTAGCAGCTAAATTGCTGCTTCTCTTGCTTAAGCCTAAGAAAAATTTACAAGCATTGTTTTGCAAACTATTTATATAGTTATGTATATTAATTTCTCATACACCAGAAGCATATGTAAAAATGATTTTGACTAAAGAGTCATATAGTTTTGTAAATACATCAAATTCATACCACCAGTTTTACAAAACTTTACTTTAATAACACCAAGAGCTCTATTACCTGATTTATACAATTCTTTGGCAATTATTGAATAATCCGAAAATTTATTCAAAAGAACACCAAGATATTTATAACAAGATGCAAAATCAAGACATAGTTCACCACATTTGAACTGAAAATTACTTCTTTGTATAGATTTATTTCTAAAATGAACAATTTTGGTTATGTTTTTATTTAAAGTCAATCTCCACTTTTCACACCACTTGTTTAAAATGTCCAACTATTCTCTGCATCAGTTGCTATCAATCCAATGTCATCAGCGTATAATAACATTGAAACCATTATGTCATCTATTTGAATACTACAATTTGCTTCTTTAATATCTGAAACTAAATCATTTACATTCTAGATTTTAGATGTCAGGGCTGATATGCATAAAACGTCTAAGGTAAAGATTTGTTCCGAACGAACGAATTTTTCTACATGTCCAACGATGAATTAGTACAACGATTGGATATCTTAACTTAAGTGGTTTAATGCATATCAGCCCAGCAGACCACCGATTCACCCACGCTAATTTAGGTCGTAAAAGAAGCCCTTCCTTGGATCAAATAGTGCTTTTATGTCATTGTTTACTAAAACTAACAAACTAATTTGCATAAATGAAACTTTTGATGAAATAGTATTATATTTAGATCATTTTGAGCCAAAATTCACTTGTGCATGCTTTTCCGTTAAAAATCAAGGATAGATAAGTTATTTTAATATTAATTTCATTATTTTAATATTAATTTCATTATTTTATTTAAGAGACCAAATCATACATTGAAAAACCAGTGGTGGAAAGTCATACAAAAAATGTTTATTACAACGAGGTAAAGGAAGATAACGAAACTGGTGGTTATTATGCATTCAGTGTCGGCTCACAGCTACCAAAGGATGCCATTGAAGTCAAAAACTTTTATGAATATGTTGAGAAGAGAAGAGGTAAAGAAGGGGATATACTAAAAGAATTTCTTGTGAGTATTTTACAAATTATGCATTGCATTCTACTCAGTACATCACCATTGATAGAACGTTGAGACTATAATAGTGTAACAAGTTTACCTATAGATCGTATGCACCTACTGCTGAACATATTAACATGCGCATATATGTGTGTCTTTGCTTCGATAAAAATTTCGAATACCGTGTCCTGCTAACGAATGCAAAACTTTTCTCCACGAAAACACATTTTCCATATATAATCTGTGTCGGAATAATTTTGATCGTTTTTCCTTGATGCTTTTAGTTTATTTTGATTAGCTGTTAGAACAGTCGTATACAAGCTTTTGACGTCAACACTCGTGAACTGTGAAGATTTGTGCCTCGGAAACTTGTACAGTTATAATGATAATAACAATTTTTTTAAAAAACCAATGCTTGATAATGATTTTTTTTATAAACTGGTTACTCATCAACTTGGCCTCATTGCTTTCATTAAAATAATCAAGATGACACTTCAACAAATTTGACAATTGTATTTGGTGAAGAATCGGTTTACTTTTAAAAATACAAAAAAGTATTTGTCGGACTGAATGATAAAATGAAGTTTTTTTGTCAACACTTGTCAATACAGTCTTTTTGCTCTGTCCAATAAATCCGTTTCCGAATAATATTGATGTTATCATATATGATTTCAACATATTTCATGGGACACAGTGAAGACAAGAAATTGCGAAGATTTGTGTTATAATGGTAGTTTTTTGTTTGTATGATGTCCCGCCTATGATAGTAGGAGAAGCATTATGTTTTCGATCTGTGTGTTCACCTGTCAGTTATTCCGTTAATCCGTTTGTTTATCTGTTAGTTCATCCCAAATCATTTTCAATTGTTTTTGTTCATTTTCATTACACTTGGTAGATACCGATGCTTGTGGACTATAAGTTACTAAGCGTATCATCAGCTCATTAATCAGTGCTTTGGTACTGACATGATTATAGCATAACTTTAATTGTAATTATGAAATTATTAAAAAAAACTAAGGTTTCAATTTCTGTCAGGCAAAGAAGTCCACTTAAGATGGATTTGGCTGTTTTCCTAATGTTTCTTTTGGTCATATCGCTTTTCACTATATTTTAAAAAGAAAACATGTTGTAATCTAGAAGTATTGTTTTATTTACGAAATACCTTTTACATGTAAAATTGTTGTCTTTTGTATGTATCATATGTCTGTATTAATGATACTGTCTGATAATTCGTTTTCGGTTGGCATCCTCTTACTTGATGATAGGTTCTTATGACTTGTGACAGTTTAATAAAATAAACTATTTATCTTTGTATCTGTTTCGGTGTTTCCTTAGGCTTTGAAAGTTCTTATTATACCGAAGGTAAATCCAGAGAAAGCGTCGGAAGCTCTTTAGAATAATTATGTGATGAAACATAATCATTTGTCGGTGGTTTTGTGTCAATTCTTTTAAGTATCATCTTTAATATGTTTTCCAGATGCTTAAAGGTGGACTACAAAAACCTACTGACGCAGCATTAAAACCAGGGAATCGACTGAAAAACAAATATAAAGATATGTATGCATGTGAGTTTGTTAGATTTATTGAATTGATTATAAGAAATCATTCACTAAAACTCGGCACACCTCTTTTTCTAAGTAAGTGACATACTTTTTTTTAACGAAAGAGGGTTAGATTTATGGGGATAATTGTGACCAGTATTGCATTTATGTCTGAGCACAAAAAATGGCAAAATCTTTAAATAGTAATTCTTAAGGCGGAATGTCGTATGTGATCAAGTATCATAGATGATTTTAAAAGGTACGAATATACTAAATAACCCAGGATTTAAAAACAATAAATCGAAGAATAACAGACGACACCATTGTCAAAAGTGCAAAAATTAAAAGACAAACAACATACAAACCACCAAACAAAAAACAAAAGACTTTATTCCGGTCGTGAAATCGTTACAGTCTGTTAGTCGGTCATATTTAGTGTTAAATGTAAAACTTCTAGAAAAGAGTCAACGATCTTTCTTACGAGGGCTCTGGCTCGTTATGAAAACCCAAACATATTTGTATGTTACAATTATGCTATATAATGGTAACTTATTCGGGATAAAAGATAAACAAGACTAAATAAAAGATACCAAAATGGATAAAAAGAGACTAAAACAGAAAAAGAAAACAAAAGCAAAAGCAAAACAAAGCCATTTAGAACTTAAGTGGGCTGTTCAACTCAAGTGCTCCGAAACGGTAAGTAGTCTCATCTAATGGCATCTGTCGTGTTGCTCATTCAAAGTAGGAAACCTGATGACAAGTCGATTCTGGATTATTAGGGTACATTGTAAACTTGTTCGCAAAAGGCTTATGTAAGTATGATAGTTATAGATTATTTATGTTTTTTTAAACGAGATGCATTTTCTCGTTCTCATCTCATCGAAGGGCGATAGCCCTGAGATGAAATGAGAATGAGAAAATGCATTGAGTTTAAAAAAACATAAATAATCTATGTTTCACTATTATGTGCATTTTCGAATATTATTTAATACAAATTACAGCAAAAATATATCTAATACGATAAGAATGCATTTTCTTTTTTGGTACTTTTTTTTTCGCGCAGATTTATTTGATATATATTTAGTCACACAACGATTTTCATTCATATTTGAACTGATCAGCCGGTGTGTTCAAAGATTGCGAACACCATACAATACATGCAAACAGACAGACAAACATTTGTGGCAGATTAATGAAAAAATTGACATTTTTTGTTGTTGTTAAAAACCTGATTTAAATACTTTTATAAACTTCAAGTTAATTTATAAGTGAAATTCACGTTGCATCGCAGTCATCCGATAACGTTTTTCTTTTATAGTTCTGGCTAAACTTTTCTGATTGATCGACACTCTAGCGCGTGGATATGGATTAATACGCTGTTGCTAAGGACCTTAGAAACTAGTGATAATTTTCATTCTCAAGCGAGTCAAGTGAGAATGAAAATTATCACATAAAAAGATCAAAGGAAAAATACACATAAAAGCGATAATTATCATTATAGACAGTAATAGTTCTTATTATGTTACAGATGATGAAACACGGGTTATACTTGACAACTCGAGTTATATAAATGCATCTTTCATTCAGGTAAGTCGATTTGAGGTTTTCAGGATATTTTTAATTACAAGTGTCTAACAACAAAGATTCAAACCATAATTAATATAAATTAAACTATTTTTTGTTTCAAATATGACAGCATTACATATTTCATAATGAAATGATTTCAAAACTATTGTTTGAACACTTATCAACATTTAAAATTTTTCTTATACTACAAAAATAGAGACTTCTTTCTTGAAATAATTGATACAGGCAATTCCTATTATACTGCTACATATACTATATGTAGAACTAACATTTGCCACATAATGGCTAAAATGTATTTCATTACTGCAGTTCAATCTGTGGTTGTGTCACAACTTATACATTATGTTATAAATGACTTCACGTCCAAATATTATAAATTGATGAAAAACGTATATGTAGATGAGGGGAAATTGTTATTGACTAAGCTGAATCATTTAAACATGCAAGTGATAAGGGGTTTTTAAATAGACGCTGCTGACATTTGAATAATTGCAAACATGAACCCGGTTGGAATTATAATTTAAATCAGAAACTATATGTTGTTGGATTTCTGTTAGTTTAATGAAAAAGGATATGGTCAATTTCCAATGTTTTCTATTTTCGAGCAGCATATTGTTAACAAATTGTAAACAGCAAATAATATTTATTTTTCTAGCTATATTGGGAACTTTTAAGGCCGTGCATAGTTCCTGCAATGCGCAGATAATCCTTTCTTTTATGAAATTGTCAGGAAATTTTTATTTGAATATGAAGCAATACGAATGAGAATACTGCACGCAATCATCACGCACTATTACCCCTTTCATGTTCAGTGATTTATGACATTTTCCACCCGAAATTACTCTCTCAAAGTTAAATGGAGAAAGAATTTAAAGAAATGTTCATACAAGCGCCATATAAAACTCATATGAAAGATACTCGATTGAATATTTCAGAAGAAAATTAAATATAAGGACATTTTTTTTCTTTTGTCATATGGTGTCTATCAGAATGTCATTTGACTTGCATGGGGCAAATAAAACGTGAAACAGATAATATTCCGAGGAAAAAACAGTTGCAGATGCTTTGAGACATTTATTGAATCAGCAATTATAATTTGATTTAGTGGTGCGCCTTTCGAAAAAAGCAAGAAGGGGAAGCAATTAGACTCAAACATTCATAAAAATAACATAAATTCCCCTTAACATCACTTGGGCATCTATTCAGTTGTATTTTTGAAATTCAAATTTAAAGTAAAGTTATATTTAGCAAATGAAATCATTTTACCCTGAGCTACGAATCCACGATCCCTGCTTGAGTTGATTCATCTTACCGCTAAGAACATATTTCAGATTCCTTTTTCATAGGAATTAATTGTAAAAATGATATATTTTTGTTGCACATTCCTTGATTTTTCGCATATATAGGGAGTGATAACACTTTAGTCTGCGTATTTGATTTGACACCCACAATGTACCTTCATTTGAACGGTCGTCCTGAACGAGCTTGAAATATTTTCTACTGGACGTTAAGCAAACAACAAACAATCAATCATTTAAAGGAATTGTTTTTCAACGTTTGATTGACAATAATCAAGCACTGAACAAACTGCCCATTATAATTTTGATGACTTTTAAGGTTTTTATTTAAAACACTCAGTAAGAAATTAACACGAACATGGAGAGCATTTTGTGTTTGTCCTGATACACTGATACACTAGGTATCATAATAGTTTACTTATGTACAAGTTATAATTATAATTTTAACAATATCCTTCTGAAACACACGCACTAGTAATTAAAATAGAAATATTCTCCCCAAAATCAGTTGCTTACTTTACACAATTCTTTACAATACATTGTGAAAATATTATATAAGATATATTTTAGGTTAAAAGCAACTATATGCACAAGAAGAAAAACCATGGTTATAAAAAACAAAAAATTACACCATTACTAACACAATTCTATATTAATATTCTTGTAATGGTAAGAAAATACATCAAATAACACTATTACAAACTTAATCCCAATTTCATATTGTATTTTTTGAAATTTACCTGTTGCGTCATTTTTTGTGGCGTTGCTCCATTCGTGTGACGAACAGTTCATTATTCTATTTTGCTGTATTTGTGTTCTGTCGTAAATTAATTTTAGGTGTTCGCTGTTATTCTGTGGTTTACATGTTGAAACAGACTATAATATTATTTATTTATGTATTTCTCTGTCCTGAATGTTCTCGCATTTATTTGTACTTTATTCCTGTCACGTAATGTTGTCATTTTAGCGGTATTTTTAACATTGCTATATAAGCGGGAGGTTTGGCATCACATAGTCCGTTTTTATGTATGTTGGCCTTTGTTTTTGTAGCAGTTCAGTGTTTCTGTTGTACCGTTTTGTTTCCTCTTATAGTTGACTTGTTTTCCTCAGTTTTGGTTTGTGACCCGGATTTGTTTCAGTTAAATCGATTTATGACTATTGAACAGCGGTATACTACTATTGCCTTTATTTATATTAACTCAATATGAGGCGAATCTTCACTAAACAGTAAATCATAGAAGTTATAGGCACGTAGAATTACACTGCTAATGTTCAGAGTATTTATTTCAGACCTTATCACAACATGCTTTCGTTATTTATAGATTAGGATCTAAACAATATGTTTCAATCGCAAAAAAAATATGTTTTACCAATTTTAGGGATATGGACAAGTTCGAAAATATATAGCTGCACAAGGTAAGAAGATTAAATGATATCAGACAAAGCTACACATTGCTAGGTAAACTCAAATTGCGACAGTGAAATCTACGTTTTACGATCGCCAAGCTTAAAATGCAATACAGTTATCTCCTAATTAATGTTGTTGAAATGTATATACCACGTTAATTAAATTTGGCATTCCAAGTGGTTGTAAACGTAAAAGCGCGTCTAGCGTACACAATAGTAAGCCTGATATCATTGATAATTTTTATAGCCGCTTGGTCGATGCCACTGCTTGTGGACATTTCGTTCTTGATGGTACCAATAGCAAAGAATAGCAAAGTAGTTTCCACCTTTGCGTTCCATGAAATATCTTTTAAAACGAATTAAAATTCGTCAAAGCAAGACGTTGGAATTTTAAAAAAAATTGATAGATGCACGACGACTACGACGATGACGAATGTTTACAAATTACTGCGGCTGTGCGAAGCAATTAGTATCAGTAGATATACACGCCATCTTATTATTACTAAACAAAAAGAATGTTCTGATTTTTTGTTCATTGGTGTGGCTAAGATTCTATTGGATTGAATTAATACAATTTGTCACGTCAGGATGGAGAGAAGAAAACTATTTACGGATGGTCTAACAGTATGAGTATTCGATACCCTTGTCGATTAATATGTTTCTAAGGGAAACGTTTTCATGGATCAGCGCTGGTAGTCAAAATTGATATATTCATTATTATCCATACCATTTGCTTTAATATGTTTACACGATTATATTTATGCATGTTATTTGCTATTTATGATGTGATGGTGTTAATATTATATCATCAGTTCTTATATATGGTATACGAAATGATAGCCCTGGTCAATGATACGTTTCTCGAACTCGACCAATAGTACATCAGATATTTATTTGTAAAACTATCACAATATCATTTACAAAGTATGGATCTAAAACGGCAGTTTAACAAACAGTACAACATAAAACCAACATGCAAGTATATAACGTCAGCACTAGTTGTAAACTGCAGAACATGGCAAACAAGCGTTAATTTATGGGTTACTTTCGCTGTGTACTTAAGTTGGTGATAAAGTTGATACCTGTTAAACACATGGAGTTTAAGTGACAACAAAAATTAATGGTTACACATAATTTAGAGACTTGTATCGCTCTAAAATACAAGAGGTTTAAGTTGTTTTAAAACGATTTTATAGTAAATGGACTTTTTGCAAATTGCAAATGTTATAAATTAAGACATACAACTGTAAGTCAAGCTTGACTTGCTTCGACTTTTCTGGGGTTTAATTAACTAGGTAATTAACAAATTGTTATTATATTTTAATAAGAAGAGTGTCAAAATTTGAAGTCGTGTGGCACTAGAATATGGGTGCAAATGGGCCATTTTGGTGAAATCCCGGGTTATCATTGACCCGGACGGGTATTGAAAAATCCAGCATATTTAGCTTGTAAATTCATGGGTCACACCCGTAAAATACGGATCAGTTGACAGGTATATTATCAAAACTCAGGAAATTTATTACAGGTCCTCTAGATAAAACTGTTGATGATTTTTGGAGAATGGTTTGGCAATATGACTGTGGTAAAATTGTGATGCTGACGAATGTGTTCGAAAATGGGAAGGTAATTAAAACAAAATAATTTCTTTTCGATTATATCAGTGTCTTCGCTATTTAACGCAATTAAAAAAAAAACATAGCAATTAAAAAAAAAAAAAACAAGTTCGAGACAGACAACACCATGACCAAAAGAAAAAAAAAGAATAAAACAAAAAAAATCTCTTGAGGTCCGCTATTGACTTTCGGTGTGTTGCCTACGCTTAAGTACGTTAACAAGTCATATATACCAGAGTAACGGCATCATACAACAGTCTGAGAGAAATTGTAAATTTCACTTGTTTAACCATAATACATCACCAAATTCTTTAAAAAATGTTTATACTCTTACCCTTAGCTTTGACTTAATGTGTAATCCTGCTATTATATAACTTTAATGATGACGAATGTTAGATAAGACTGTGGTTTAAAACATCACTAATATTTCAAAATGGAAAAAACATAGAAAATATAAAAGAACATGAACCTCTTTAAAACATACCTTGGTCCGGTAATCAGGAGCTAAGCTGTTCATTTTTCACTTGTAACAAAGTTACACTCAATGCAAGTATAAATATAGAGATAAAAAAACATTGATGATATTATAACGGAGATAGAGAACAAAGCTAATGTAACGTCCAGAAGAACTTTAATGTTTCATTTATAACACCTACTTTTCTTGATTATTATGACGTTCGTATAACGTTTCTTTAAGTTATCTTCAGAACCGAAGTATATACTAGATTGAATTGACTATAATTTTATAGTTATTTTTATCATATTACTCTTCATGTGCTTCGGTAAGAAAACATCATTAGATTTCAAATATTTGGCTGTGACCGTTTTTAATGAAGGTAAATCCAGAAAAGCGCTATGGACGCATACAATGTATATACTGTTATTTTCATTCTTTTTCTTGAAGAACAAAACTGCTTTATTTATTTCTGTTTAACTTTTTTAATTTTAGGAAAAATGCATTCAATATTGGCCAGATCATGAACAACAGAAGACATCATACGGACCCATATCTTTACTTTTGGTTAAAGAAGATGTTTATTCAGATTTTACTGTCAGAAGAATAAAACTGCAAAAGGTGCTTATAGAAATAAGTAGTTTGATTTTAAATGTTTGACCAAAAAGACGAAAGATACATGTTTTTAACAAACAATTTGAATAAATACGATAGGTTCAGTATATCGATATGTTTATTTGGGGCCGTAATGAAGAAATTTAGGTGCGATTAACTTGTTCATAGCAATACGGTCATTTTTCTTTAGTTTAATAAATCTCTTTTATCAATTTCTTGGTCTTTAGTTTAATAAAAAAAAATTCAATATCTGGATCTTTAGTGTCTCCTTTTTTTTTATCATCGTTCTTATCGTTGTGTCCAATTGATCTTAGATACATTTATACACTATACCGATTTGTTCCCATATTATGGTGTTTTCATCAACTGAAGGAAAAAAGTAAAGGTCCCTCGTTTTAAAACAAATCTTAAATATATTTATTTGTAAAATCGCGATCGAAAAATATATGACACTAAACACTGTCAAATTAAATTTTAAATGATCGGATCAACAATACGTATATCATGTTCCAGGTTTTATAAAAAAAAAAGGATGTTATAAGATTAGAGTTCTGGAACAACTTAAGCAATTAATTATCAATGGGACAACTATCCAACATAGACCAAAGAATGAGAATGTGAACAACTTTTGCTTAACTCAAAAGAACAGTAAGAAACCCCAAAACAACTAACATAAACACGATAGACAAAAATAACCGATATAAGAGTACTCACGGTTACTGAAAGCTAGTTCAAAGCTAATCACAACAAATAAACAAATCATATTTTCCCATTTGTTCCAGATCGTACAAAACGCGTTCGTATGAATTAACGGTTGTAAATAAAGGTAACAGTAGTATACCGGTGTTCAAAGGTCATACATCGATTGAGAGAAAACATATCCGGGTTCCGAGCTATTCTACATTCATATTGATAGACAATCTATTTAAATGTACAAATTTAACCTGAAACAATATGTTTGGGATCTTTGCTCACTTATAATACCTTCATATGTATCAGGTCTGTGAGCTATGACTTGTAGCTGATTGAAAATTGAAAAAAAAAAGTATTCGGCAAATACAAAGAAATAAGGAAATGACAACGTGTTAATGGTATAGTTTAAAAAAACAAAGCTTTACTTTGTTAACGATAATAAGAATATGGGCGGACATTCAAGGACATAAAGCGTATCACACGGTTTTATAATAACAATATGGATATGTGTCCTATCAATTAGAAATATACGAATAAAACGTTGGATAATGGTACAACAATCAAACGATAAAAATACCCATAATATATATATAGGACAACATATAGTCTCCAACCATAGAAATGTGTTATACAAAAATGCCCAGCTCTAAATCGTTTAAAATTTTTAAAAGTTACGAATAATTAGTATTAAATTGTTACGGTAATTAATTTCAATAAAGTTTGTGTTTTTTTTTTTCTTATGTTGACAGGAAAACGTCACGAAAACTGTTCTTCAGTTCCACTTTACTGCTTGGCCCGACAAAGATGTTCCGAAATATGCTTCATCCTTGGTTCACTTCCGACACAAAGTCAACACCACGAGAACAGTGGCAAAAGGGCCTATGGTTGTTCATTGCAGGTTCAGATATTAAAATGCTTGTTTTTCTCCCTCCAAAATACAGGGTTATGCAATAAGTATTCTTTACCTACAATTTTTGGCTATATAAAAACACCTTTTAAAATACCTTCGAAGGCTTTTATTGTTTCAAACAACGGTCCTTTGTGTTGAAAGCCACATAACTGCCTGCAGTATAGATGTGTATTTAGTCATTATGTGTTCTCCATTTATTGAAATTGATGTTTTTTTTATAAAGTGAACATGTAAAAGACAAGATTGACTTTGAGTTTGGTTGAAAAAAAAGTAAAATCACAAAAATACTGAACTCCGAGGAAAATTCAAAACGGTAAGTCCCTTATCAAATGGCAAAATCAAAAGCACTTACACACCAAAAGAATGCACAACAGCTGTCATATTATAGCAATTTAGCAATTTTCCGGACAAAGAAATGTACTTGTTAAAAAAATGTTGACGTATTTCGTAACGGTATTGCGTAAACAGTAAATATTCAAACATTAGATGTTGCTGGGGTGTACACGTAGAGTTTTATTTACATATAATGTAATCCTTTTAAATCAGTAAAAAGCGTTACTTTTGAATCTTTTTGCTTGTATTCTTGCGTTATTGTGAACTTTAATTTAGTTGCAGCTTAAAAGGTACCAGACGACTTTAACTTCCTGGATATCCAGATAATAACGGCTTTTCTATTTAGATACAAAAAAATTAAAGTAAAAAGTATCTGCTGAAGGTACTCTGGGAAAATAATGCTATTACATAACATCAGGTATATTAATGAGGAAATCACAGGAGTACAATGTATCAAACATGCCGCTAAATATCGCGAATGCTCATGGCAAAACAAGAAGAGAAAAAAAGACGGCTATCAAAAAAACAAAAGTAAAACTTTCCCATGCCTATCCTAAAGTTTACTTGCGGATTTGTCAGCTCATGCTAACTTATGAACAGGACCGCTTTAAGGACGCTACTGTGTATATTTTCATTTAATTCGCCAAAGATTTGCAACCTTTTTTGACATATATTGAGAGAAAAAAAATTAATTGGTAACTAAAGACATAAAAGGCAAATGAAAACACCATGAAATATCCAGTTTCAATCTCAATCCATGTCAACGTAAACTTTAGCACATAGATATAAGAAGATGTGGTATGAGTGGCAATGAGACAACTCTCCACTCAAGTCACAATTTATAAAAGTAAACCATTATAGGTCAAAGTACAGCCTTCAACACGGAGCCTTGGCTCGCACCGAACAGCAATATATTAAGGGACCCAAAAATGACAAGTGTAAAACTATTCAAACCGGAAAACCAACGGTCTAATCTATATAAAAAAAATGAGAAACGCTTATGAACCACATCAACAAACGACAACCATTAAAGATCAGGTTCCTGACTTAGGACAGGTGCATACAAATGCAGTGGGTTTAAACTTTTTTAATAGGCGCCAACCTTCACCCTACCCTAAAACAATAGTGTAACATCACAACATAGAAAGACACAGTATAAAATACCAATTGAAATGGCTTAACTCAATCAAAAGACATATTAACAAAAACAAGTGAACATGCTGTTAATTTCTGTTTCATTTGGTCTTTTGTGGAGAGTTGTCTCATTGGCAATCATATTACATTTTCTTTTTTATATATACACTGAACGAACAAATTTGATCTATGACACAATGTAAATACAAAATTAATAAAACAAAGGGGTTAGATGTAAAACAATATCAGAAAGACAACCATAACCTTGGACAAAATGCCGCCAAATAAAATAACGTACACAGGTAAATAAAAATAATTTTGTTGTAATGTATACATGAATTATGGAAATATTTTGTATTACAAAATAAATAATTTTGTTGTTCATAGTACGAGAACAGAAGTGAAAATGTATCGTCATACTGAACACTTATCAAAGATTGTATGTATTAGAAATAGTGAGACGACATGCATAATTGATTGATTTAGGAAAATACTTAAAATGCTAATTTGATTATTGAACATCGATCGATCAGAAACCATGTTAGATATAAGTTTGAAAACTTTGCAGGAACTAAGGAAAGGATAATTTGAATAAACGGTACATACAAGATCGATAAATATACATTCTGAAAGTGATTCCGTAGTAAAAATAAACAAAATGATCTCAAACATAAATGTGTCATAACTGATCAAATATGAGAGTATGCACACATAACACTTTATACGGTCTGCAAACAGGACGAGGAACAAACATTTTTAAATAAAACTTATAAAAATGATTGAAAAGAGGTGATGTGTTACATTAATTCATGTCTCAAAATCTTGACACATTCATCGCAAAACCAGGAAAATCATTCAAACATGAATAAGAGGAGAAATGAGACAGAAAACCCAAGCCTCAAGTAACTATAATATACAGGTCAACGTACAGCCTTCGGTAATTTTAAAATTATGATAAATTCAGAAAGGCGATTTGGACTCAACAATCTTTAAAAAGGGTGTTGATATACAGCAATTTATTGATATATTTCATTTATCCGCAGATTGATGGGTTATGGATGTCGTTGAAATTTGTTGAATAGTATCTTTGATCAGTTTCAATATAGCAATGAAACACATTAAATACGTCCTGAATGATAATGTAACTAAAATCTATGTTTCCTGATTACCCCTTAAATTTAACTTACACCATTGTTGACTAAAACTAAAATTTGTATGTACTGACATAAATTAAGAATAATGGTTTGAGAAGCAATTCAATTGTTTGAAAATAACAGGAACTATCTTATTGCAATTTCAGTGCAGGGGTAGGTCGTACTGGTACATACATTGCATTGGATTATATAGTAAATGAAGCGAAAGATAGAGACTATGTTGAAGTTTTCCGAAGTGTTGAAATATTAAGAAATCAGAGAGTGAATATGGTACAAACAGCGGTATGTATATTGGAATAAAACAACTTATCATGATATATAAAGAAAGATAATACGATAAACAGCATGCAATCAAAGTTCAAAATGTCAAAAATAAAATGTCGTTCTGTTCATGTAAAATAGGACAGCAAGATGCAATCGTTGTTTCCATTTGGTTGATTCTCTATAACACTAGAAGACTTCCAATCGATAACAAAATTTGGCTTCGAGACCTTAGGGACATAATGATTTACAGGTCTTATTACAGGTTTATATGGTCTAACAAATATTTTCTTTGAAATTATAGAACCAGTACTTGTTCTTGCATGAAGCTGTTCTAGAAGCCCTCATGTGTCCAAACTCGGGAATACCTTGCAGGGATTTTCCGGATAATTATAAAAACATGATGCGATTTGACAACAAAAAGAAAAAGCACAAGCTGCAAATAGAATATGAGGTAAACTACTTCAACTCAAAATGCACTCACATATTTGTACTTTCACACAATAAATCTTTAACATTTTATTTTTAGAAATTGGTTTTAACGAATCTTCTATAACATGCTTAAATTGTATTTTCACCTTTTAAGTCCTAAATATTTAAAAGATATCTAGTTTCTTACTGTGCATGATCAGCTTAAATTGATCATGACAAATTAGTAAAAGTATGCAGTTATTTTAGATATGTATTACTTATCACAGTCATATTACAGTTGATAATGGTTTCAAGTCTGATATTAATAAAATGTCACATCATTTATAAAACGTGCGTAACATTTTCTTAAAAATTAATACCCTCCAAAAAAAGCTCTGATGCCCAAAAAACATCTGCGTGTTGTTTTTACTTATCGTTGCTATCCTAATTAGGTAAGAAATATTATGCGACAGGAGAACAAAGACAACATTACTTTTATTTGAGAAAAGGTAGTGTCTTCCCATAAAAAAACATGTCAGTTTTGTTACAGCTACTGAATTCTATATCAAGTCGGCATGACGAAAAAGTATTTAGTAAGGGCAAATCTGAAGAAAACAGAGGGAAGAACAGATATAGCAATATCATGCCAGGTACATTTATGGAAAAAAATCTTACTTTTTTTATTTTTTACATTTTTTGCATTTTAATATTACATCACCAAAAAGTTACTTCGTTATAGAAACATACTTAAACTTACTTGCGACTCTATTTAGTAATGCACACATTATTTCATGACATAAAACCTTTCTGTATTAGTATTTCTTTTTATCGTCATATCTTTTCTGTTTCTGTCTATGTCAAATTTTCCTTCCGTTTTTAGAACCAAACCTGTAAAAAAATTGTCGACGTCATTCTTTTACCTTTTGAAGTATAGATGCATAATATCCTATCTACTCCACTAATACTCCTCCATAATAATGTATCACCAGTCTGGTTTAACATGGAAAGAGATCGGAACGCAACATATTCAATGAAAAGTATACACGTATATATGTATTTTGTGGACTGTGCACCTTGAACGATTGTCAGGGTTTCATCTTTAAGGGTTCACAAGAATATCATTTCAATCAAAAGTATTACGATTGACATCTGATCCTTAGCATGACAAAGCACAACTGTTTAGAAACTATACTCTTGAGGAAATATAAATTGAAACTTAAAGAACAGCAGCTCTAAAATAATATATATTCATATTTTAATGTTAAGCACATTTTTTTCAAATAGTGAGCATGCATGCAAATTACTTTGACTGTAAAAACTCCATGCATCACTAACATGTAATTGTTCGTATAATGACTTTTTCACTTACATTTCATTCATACTGGTTATTATCTTACTATTTTTTCAATTGAAGATGTTTTATTACCAATTTTAATTATCACGGTCTTCAGCTAGCTTGAAAATTGGTAGAGGAGAATTTAATTTTTTTAACTTTTTATGTCGATGTTATAGAACGATAATATTACTATGATCGCTAAAAGGTACTTGTTACTTCCCTTTGGTAGTCAAAACGTAAACACTGTTGACTTTAAAAGGATCATAAGACAATTTAAGTTGGAGAAACTGAAAAGTGAGCTTAATAAATGTCGTGACGGGATAGCTTATTTTCGGCTAATCTTTTATCAATTTAGTCAAATAAACTTTAATTTAATGTATGTTTGATTGTAAAAAATGAAAAAGAACACTTTATTTATAAGTAGCATGTGTCTGACGCGCTTATCTGGATTTACCTTCATCAGCAAACAGTTGAAGAACTATATATATGACCAAACATGGCCTTAATATAATAGCCAGATCCATTTAAGGTCAACTGTACCTGAGGGAGTTAAAACCTTCGTTTCCTAATAACTTCATAATTTGGAACGAACAATTTTAGATGGTTTGTTAAAAACCATGTTAATATCAAAGAACTAACTACTACTGAGCTGGTATTACCTGCGGAGACTGATAATCCACCAGCAGCGGTATCAATCCAGTGCTGTGAATAATTCAATCAACAATTTACAAATTTCATGCAGTTAAGTTTTTAAAAACTTCATCCCGATAAATTTAATATATAACGTATTGCCATGATTAAAAACAGCAACTACATCATCATTTTATTTTGTTTCGCCAAAATATTTCCTTACTATCTCTTTAATATATGGTAGACTAGCTTCATTAAATTTTCCTATCTGTGTTAGCCCTGGCAGTATATCTATTTTGCTATATTAAGTTATTATTGATAACAAAACCAGATAGTTCCGATGTAGTTCATTGAAATTTCCTAACTTCTTCAAAGAAAGAATGTTAATAATGACCTGTTATCATGATTTTATTTTATAGTTGGATCAGAGATGCCACTGCTATCGACAGCAGTAGATGGACGTAACGAGTATATAAATGCAGTGTTTTTACCCGTAAGGATTTTCTTCTATATAAAAATTCTAAAAACCCTGATAAGATTACACTATAGTTTAACGACTATACAAATAAAACAAAATATGAGTCCTTTTACAGTCCTTGGATGGTGTAAACCTCCCACTAACACCATACACCATGACACCATTCATCATACACCATAACACCATACACCCTGTGCCATTACACCATACACGTTACACCTTTGCTCCATAACACACATAACACCATAATCCAATTTTATTTCAAAGAAATCGTGCGACTACAAAATTATTATTTATTTTAAAAAACGAATTTTGATCACAATATTGTAAATTAATGTATAAAATCTTACACCATTCATTCACACCATTCCCGATCTCACGTTACACCATTACACCATTCCCCTTATACATACACCATAGCACCATACACCTTCTACCATTGCACCATATGCCCTACACCATAACACCATACACGTTTTTTTAGGGAAGTTTACACCATCCAAGGGCTGTACTCCTTTTTATGAACAATTTAATATTAAATTTGAATATTTATATTTAGCTTAATTTGTATTATTTTACTTTGTAAAAGATTTTCAACAAAAATCCTTCTATACGACATTTTTACGATATATTGTCCGCATTTGCTTCAATTTTTTTTTCGTCGTGCAGTCGATTAAAGAATGCTAGAAATTTTCAAACTTGCTAATTCACATCCTGCCATCTTGGTTAGAAATGAAGTCGTTGAAACAACGGAGATATCACCTAGCTTCTTGTAGCGCCTTTTTCACTAAACCAAATAGGGGCGTAAATAAATATTTATCGGACCAGATCGGTTTGTAAAATGAATAGAGCTTAGACTCAAAGCTTAAATATAAATTCTTTTGTGTGTAAAATAGGAAACAATAATTTGAATAAAACCTTACCATGGAGAAAAAGGAGTGCCGATTTAAATCGTGTACAATTGAAACAGTCTTCTTCCGCCTAAAAAGTAGAAGACTATTTTCCTATGTTGTCGTCTTTATTGATTCCTTGTTGGCTTTTCGTATTGCACCAACGGAAATTCGAAACAAACGAATACATAAAAGTTACATTGATTCGTTATTTTTTTTTATTGAGAATTATATCTATCCTTCTGTTGTTTTAATGCTAAGCATATGGAAATTTTAAAGAAAATCTACAGCATTTGCCCTTTTCCAATATTTGACAATAATGTACTTAATAAATACCAGATAACTGCATGCAGTTCTATCAATGATTTCCCTAAAACAAGTTTTAAAATAAAGATATTAGTTAAACAAGTACACATATAGACCTATTCAAATAAACCTTCTAGGGTGTGTAGGAATTTAGACCCATTACGATTGGTTTATTGTAATGGTTAATTAGGAATGTTTGTAAACAATAAATGCTAGCACAACATAAACAAACAAGTGAGTAATATAAGGCCTACAGAAGGGGTCATTAACCTTTAAGTATTAACTTTTCACGTATTTAAACTTGAACGTTGAAACGTGTTTATGCAATATAATGTATTCTTAATCATGACAGGGATACAGAAAGAATAAAACATTTATTGTGACACAAATGCCTATGGAGACGACAGTTGTTGACCTTTGGAGACTGGTGCATGATTACGAAATTCCAACTATTGTCATGCTTAACAAAGATATACAAAAAGGAGTATGTTGTTATATATTTTCGCTTGCCATTAGAACAGATAAGGATGTTTGATAATATTATAATATTTGTTCTTTCAAGTAAACAATACAAAAAAGTAAATATCTACTTATTTACAGGCATGGCTTTGAATTATTGACAAATGATCATTTCGTTTTGTATAGTCCTGGCATATGGCAAGTGAAAAATTCAAAAACTAAAACCATGGAAAAATATAAAATCAATACTTGAATGTTATTTCGTCTCTTGATTTTGACGTTTAACTTGTGGCACCAAATTATAAACCTGGTATCTTTGATGAAATTCTGTTTACATATTTCTGAGATCTTGACGTTACATTAAACTGAAAATGTGTATATCAAAACAAAAAACAATTAATTTCTTGATTTTACTTCTAGTGATTTTTTTACTGGTTTCTTTTTCTCAAATCTACATTGCAAATACCAGTTCATTATCTGGAAAGTTAAAGAGAAGTGAAAAATTCTAAAAGGATATTCAAACTGATAAGTCGAAAACAAATTTACAATGCCATGGCAAAAAGCGAAAAACGACGACAAGACACAACAGTACACAAAACAAAGTATTGAAAGCTAAAAACTAAGCAACACGAACCCCATAAAAAACCGTGGGTGATTTCAGGTGCTCCGAAAGGGTAAGTAAAATTTGATCCTGCTCCACATGTGTCAACCGTAGTTTGGCTCATATAAGTACAAACTCGGTGATAAGTCTTAATTCGGTAGGTCACATTCGACGAAAAGAGGCTGGGATTGTGATTACATAGTGGAACATATCCGTCGTCATCTGTGAATCAAAGGGGTGATTAATATTGGTGTAAACATAAATTCCAGTAGTTGGGATGTTATTTTGAGATTTTGATTGTTTTCAACAATAATCATACAATATCTAACCTGATTATGAAAATTCTTTCATGAACGTTTGGAAATATCACACAAATTGATCACAAATTATCTGTGCAAAACATGGCTCACAAGATTTAATAGCGAACAATGTTGTTTTATAAAATCAGAAATCAACAAATGTATACTGGCCAGAAGGTGATAAAGATGTGACGTTTGGTCCATTTAACATTACAAGAACAAACACCATTTCAAAGAACCTGTATACCTGTTTGGATCTGACATACAAATACAAGAACAAGGTACAGCTAATTTTAAGAAAGTTTATAGACATTTGACTTGTTTTTATAGTTATCGTGTTGATTTAATATTCATTTCTTTTTCCAAAAAGCTGTCAACATAGATATTTTTAGAGTTGGTCATCATTTTAATAATTGTGATTTCAAGTTTTTGTAAAGGAGGATTTCTTCCTTCAAAGAGTTATATTTTCCTTCTTATTATATAGTACATTGTAAAGTAATGCAAAACAGATAGGGAAATAAGTTATGAAAATTAACAATTTTATCGATTCACAGTAGGCAAAGTAATCTACGTTGTTTGCCATTTTGCCCATAACAACAGCGAAAAGCATGTGTATTTAAATATGTAAAGTAACGTCTGTTCAGCCAAAATGGTTCGACATTGAATTGTGTCATTTGACGCAGGGCATTCATATTCTATTTTCCAAAGATGAAAAATGTTCACATTACGAGTTTTTACAGTAACACAGATTTGAGATCACTGATATCAAAATGTTTTAAAAACCTATTATATATCCCAAAAGTCTACTCGAACGGCACATGTTTCGAAAGTTTCCTTCATTATATAAACTCGAGACTAATTATAAGAGAGCAATGAGAATAAATGTTTGAAAGCATTAAAAATGTCTTCAGCAATATAGACAAAAACCGTGTAAGCTCGTCCATTAATTGTTGTGGTAGAAAAAAAATTCTACCGGGAATATTTACAGACAAAAGAATCATTTACATCAAGTAGAGAAGTACTGGCTACTGAGCGGATTTAGTACATTCGGGGTCTAATTGTTCACAACCAGTACAACCGACATAATAGTAGTTAGAAAGCTTACAAATAAGATAATTGGTACTGTTATTAAAGTATCCTGGTTCCAATTGAATATACAAACCAAGGTAAAAACCAAAAATACAGAGGAAATCGCGAACGGGTGCGTTGATGGTGTAAGGGTTTCCTGATATATAAACTGGATCCCTGCGCATATGGCATGCAGCTAAATTTGAAATAAATTTCCTCGACACCAAAAGTTTTGAAAGCTTGAAGTTTGATTTTTTTTTTATTACCTTAATAACATAACCATTCTATATCGTCCCAGTAATTATGTCGATAAAATCAACAAAATTATTAGGACTTAAGATTTTTACTATTTTTGCAATTAATTTGCAAACTATGCAAACTAATGGTAATCATCATATTTACTCCGCCCGTCTTTTTTTAAGCATCTTACTCACTTTGAAAAATATCCTAACACCATCCTATAAATAACCTCTAGCTTTATTTGTAAACTTTTCTTTCAGGAGTTGAGACAAGTAAAATTGTTCCAATCAAAGTTTTGGGAAGAAAACATGATTAATCCTGGATCTGCAAACGACATGTTGTCATTCCTGTCTGCCACAGAAGATGAACATAGTAATAACAGAGGATGTGGACCTGTCCTTGTTCACTGTTTGTACGTAATAATATTCAACATATAATATTATGAATGAAAGACTGGAGGGACTTTTCTACCACGTGGAATGTAATTTTGATATCTAGAGTGCATCAGATATTTTTCATAAATATAGCAAACAAATAAAAACTTTAAACTATACAATTGTTAGGATTCAGAACAAAGTGATTTGAACAAAACAGTTATTTTTTTTTAGAAATGGTTGTGATAAAAGTGGGCTATACTGTGTTTTGGCGACAGTGATAGAACGACTTCGAATAGAACAAGATGTCGATATACAGCACATCATCAAACAGATGAGGAATAGAAGACCTCAGATCATTCCAAACTATGTAAGTATGAATTGCATGTATTTAATAAATTAAATTCAGTTCCAAAAGTAAATACATCTTAACTTTTAAATGACATGACATAAAACGAAAATTAAAGTGACTTTGGTGGTGTATTATGTTTTCGAATTAAACATAATTATTTATCTGCAAAATATTACATTAGATTAAAGGTCATGTTTAAATGAATTTGAATATGAATACAAGGAGGTGTATGGTTTACCTCAATTATACAGCAAACCCAAGAACAAAAACAACCAAAAGACAACTAGTTGACAAAATTATCTTACATTAAAGAATACTTTAATCAAAACCAGGAATTAAATGTCCGAAAGAAGAGGAAGACGGCAAAGGGATATTCAAACTGATAAATCAATGACAAACTGTCAATTCTCTGGCAAAAAACGAAAAAAAAACGATAAAAAAATAACTACCAACAGTATACAAAAATACAACATAGAAAAACTAAAGCCTGAGCAAAATGATTCCCTCCAAAATCCAGTGTTGATATAGGTGCTCAGGAAGGGTAAGGAGATCCTGTTTCACATGTGACATCCGTCGTGTTACTCCTATAAAATATTTTGATGTTATATCAAGTGATATCGCAAGAATACATATAAATATATATTTTAAAAGATGCAAATTTTACAATTATAAAAATGAATAAAAGATTCCCGATTTTATCATGTTTATTGGCAAGCTTTCACACATTCGTTTTTAGCTCACCTGGCCAAAAGCACCAGTTTGAGCTATTGCTATCAATTTGCGTCCGTCGTCTGTACTCATCATCGTCCGTTGTCGTCCGTTAACTTTTACTAAAATCTTCTTCTCTGAAATTACGGGAATTTAACCAATTTTGGCCAAAATCATCATTTGAGTATTTAGTTTTCAAAAATATGTCCGATGATCCCGCCTACCATATAACATGGCTGACATGGCTAAAATATTACATCGAGATGACATGCAAGTTTGAATATTATCTTGAAAACCTCTATAGATAGAAAAAATCTATCTGGGTGTAATAACAATCACAATGTTGAGGTCTACCTACTGTCCATTTATATCACATATGTTAGACGCCTACTTATAGAAGTCATTGCTCTCAAATGACAAACTTTTCCGTTTGATTGTTCTGCAATACATGATCTACAAATTTATCAATTTAGCTGAAATCGTTGGTCGACTACGTATTTGATTTATTGCTCTTTAAATACTTTTTTTTCAAGTTTTATGCGATTTTGCTTATAATCTTGGAAGTTATAATAGATAGATAGAAACTTTAAAAAGTTAAATGATCAGCAAGACAAGATATTTTTTTGTGTGTTATTGTCCATTATTTTGATACTATAACAGAAAAAGAGACACTTTAGATATAAAAAAAGATCCACAGGGGAAAGTCTACAAATAAGTCTACATTTCTCAAATCATTGGTCAAGAAAACGAGAGGCAAAATTAAAAATATACCAAAGGGATGTTCAAATCGAAAACAAAAGTTGGGCGGAATGGTGTCTTTCGTCTTTGGAAATGCTTGTTTATTTGAAAACTATTACATTGGATTCTACATGAAAACAAACGAAAGGCTTCTGACAGATATGTTCAATAACGTTGTTTCTAGTGTAAGTGTTTTTATACTAAGTTTGTCATTCACTTAAAGTGACTTTAGGCTCAAAATTACGTTGGAAGATAAGGAATCATATGAACTTCAGAGATTATAATTTCATTATTTTCCTAACATTGATGTAAGTCATAGACACATTAAATTTTGGAGATTCCTTCTACAAATTCTCACTTGTTAGTGTTATTCCTATAAAAAATGAATTGGAAGTTGTTAAAATATCATATGGCATATTAAACAAAAAAAAATGTATAACAAAAGTATCGAACTCAAAGGTAAATTCAAAAAGGAGAAGTCCATAAAAAACTGACAAAATCAAACGTTATTTATCAACGGAACAAGTGTAAAACAACTATCATATTACTGATTTTTCCGAAGAAAATGGTGGGTTAAACTATAATAGCTAACTAAACCTCCCACTTCTATGACAGTTGTTTATATTTCCGTTATATTGACAAAATTGGGTGACCATTCCAAACAGATGATGATAGGTTAATGTGACAATAATTGGGATCCAGCGGCCAAAACTCTGTAAACATACATCAAAGACATACAACATAAAAAATTCAAGCAAACATACAAATAGATCTTACAAAGACGCCAACAAAAATGGTGCTCTAATATATAGTAAATTTGACAAAGACGCCAACAAAAAGGTAATGAAATGAGACTATTTAGATATATTGTATATGATTTTTTAATACTAAGACTTATTACTTATTCAGGAACAGTTTCAGTTCATATACGAAGCAGTTATAGAATACCTGAAAGAGTTTGAGACGTATTCAAATTTCCAGTGAACTTGAAACATCCCTGTAGATAAACTAACTAGCATACTATTATATATGTATATTAGTTTCTTTCTTTTGTATAAATATGTTTATTTCTTGAAATGATATATGCATATAATGTGAAAGCTTTAAATTATTCATACTATTCTTTATCAATCAGTAGGATGTAGTCAGGTTCTTGCCTTAAATGTCTCATTTGCAATAGTTTCGAAAATATTCAGAAAAGGTATTATGCTGAAAAAGGAGAAGGAACAGTTGATTTCAGGTAACAATTAGGTGTTATTTACTTATTGATTTTGTTTCAAATTTAACGACAATTTACTGTCCAATGTAAGCATATAAATCATTATCCTAGAGAGATAGAAATTATTTCCCTTTTGGGCAAACCACCAAACAAATCGGAGATGCTAGTATCAATCTATTGGGATTTTTACTTTAATGTTAATAGACCAAACATTTTTTTCATATATGTGAACTAAGATAATTTTTCTTATATGTGAACTAAGATAATGCTGCTCGATCCAGAAAGTATCAAGTGGAACATGACTATTTTTCACTTTGGTTTATCATTTACTAAATAGAGAATTGTTATGTATTAAAATGAGTTGTACCTCTGTTTGTTCATGTCAGCAGTCTTATTAGTCTCTGTATATTGAATTAACATGTTCATCGTTTAATTTCAATGCATTTGTATGTCTATATTGATTATTACGTCATAATTCTACATTGGAAAGTTATTTCAGAAACTATGAAAATTGTTCCGACATGACAAAATATTTCTATAGCAATTGAATTTACTACACAAGAGTGAATTTCTAATGTGTATACATGTTTTGTGTTAGCCGTCATTAGCTTGCTTTGCAATATTATTTCTCGGTATTTCTATTATTTATTTTTTTTATTATTACTTATGCTTTTTTATAATATCAAAGATTTTTTGGTAAATTAATGAATTATCTGAAGTTACTCTGTTGAAAAATCTGAACGATTTTAAAACTACTTTGACCACAACCGTATGATGTATTTCTCTTAAAGACCTAACAAAATTGTTTTTTTTTTATAACAAATGATTTACATAGCAGACCTGTCTATGGTTATAGTTCTCTTAGATGCTTGTTTGAATTAAATTAAATTTTCGATAAATTTGCAAATGCCAAAGTATACTTCATTCAAGTTTATAACTAGATGAAATTTCTACTCTTTTCAACCAGAATTTGAATTCCTGTGGCTATTGTCCATGAAATCTGTGAGTCGTTACCATGCAATATAAACTATAATTTGAATGTGTGCAATATATTGTAACACGCTATTTATATCATGCAAACTTATCTCAAATAACTGTTGAATTTTTTTTCATAGTGTGTCGTGAAGATTATATTGTTAAGTTTGATAAAGTTTGAAGTTGATAAATCATATGGTTCTGTTATCTACTATGCAAGATATACCTTTGAGAGTTTTCGTTCGTTTATTTATTTCTTGTTTGCTTGGAAAAATGTATAATACATCTATGAAATAACATATTCTAATACTTTAATGTATGTATTGAAATTTTTAATTCGAACACCTATGTTTTTTTTACCTCTGGCTCCAATAACAAACTCTGACTTCAAGGTAAAAGTGCAAAGAGTAGTGGAAACGTTTCTCCATCTACAATTGTATAGAGTGTAGAATGTAAATGAGTTTATACTTTTTTTTAAATTGCATGCATTATTTCTAAATATATTTCAAAACTTTAGAAAAAAGTTAATAATTAAAATTACGATATTGATATTTGTTTTTTTTTTAATTAAAGGTAATTTCATAACCCAGAAATGTTATATTGGCTAATCAAAAGTGCATAAATCTGATGATTTTCTAAATATCAAATATGATACAAATCATAGTTTATACATTTATAAAATTGATATCAAAAATAATTTGAACATGCAATAATTATGTGGGACAATCAGAACTCTAAAATAATGGTTTATTCCAGATTGTCCCACTTTTTAAAATTTTAGAGTTCTGATTGTCCAACATGAAAAGTTCTGATTGTACCACATTATTTTATGAAGTAAAATGTTATTCAATAAACAAGGTAACTGTTGTTTGTTTTGCTAAATAGACAAGAATTAATTATTGCATTTTATAGTGTGTCTTTCTATGTTGTGATGTTACACTATTGTTTCAGAAAAAGGGTGAAGGTTTGGTACCATTAAAACGTTTAAACCCGCTGCATTTGTTTGCACCTGTCCCAAGTCAGGAATCTGATGTTCAGTAGTTGTCGTTTGTTGATGTGGTTCATAAGTGTTTCTCATTTCTCGTTTTTTATATACTAGTAGATTAGACCGTTGGTTTTCCCGTTTTACACTAGTAATTTTGGGGGCCCTTTATATCTTACTGTTCGGTGTGAGCCAAGGCTCCGTGTTGAAGACCGTACTGTGACCTATAATGGTTTACTTTTATAAATTTTGACTTGGATGGAGAGTTGTCTCATTGGCACTCATACCACATCTTCTTATCTCTATTTAAAATGTTTTTTGACTCATTTACAAACTAAATAAAGTCAGAAGGATGGTGAGAAGGACATTATGATTAATTTGTAAGTAAAACACTTAGGGAATATTGTTTTTTCGATTGCAGATCTGTAAAATGTTATCATCGCTGAAATAAGAAGGTCATAAACAATTCCAATATTTAAACATTTGAGAAATATTCCTGAATTAACTATTTAGACAATAGAATAAAATAATGATTGATTGCATTGATGGATAGGTTGATTGATTAATACTTAAACTGCAAATATGTGAAAAATGAAAATTTGTATTTTGAATTCTTAAAATACTTCAGTAATACCTTAACTATTTAAAACCATATTGAAAATTTAACTAATGTTGGTATCCACTAAGTTAAAGTTGAGTTATATTTTACAATCTTTCAAGCTACAATACAGTGACAAAATGGTTTGGCGATGAATCACAACGAAAAACACATTAGTAGACATTTTTTTCTAATTATTGGCACATGTTTTGTCTTAAGGATGTTCGCATCTCTTGTTTTCTAATTTTTGTCAGATTTTCGGAATCCTCTGTTTTTATCCATGTAGTGCTAATAAATATTTTGCCCGCTAACCCCTACTTTTCTTTTCATAATTTTAAAAAGCCATATTTGAAAATCTCATAAAATCCTTGTTATTTTTTTCAGAGTTTTTGAAAGAAAAAAGGTGCTAATGTTAAATGTATGAAAAGTCTAGAGAAAATCATTTCCCTCCAAATTTTCAATGGCTTATATCTCGAAAACAAGCACACGGACCCTTCAATTTTTCTGCTTTTTTAGTTCCTTTTTTTCATATATTTTAAATTGATAAAAGTCTTTTTAAAAGCTTGTTATTTTGAAACAGAGTAGCGAACATCCTGAAACATCCAAAGAATCTTTTACACTTAAAACATAGTTCATTCCATTACTTTATATGCTTTGTTCTCTTATGGTTGTGACCTGCTATCTTTTTCCGAATGAACGGGGTATGATTTCAATTAGTGATACGTAAAATGCGTTATTTCGTAGGCCTATACTGCAATGTGTTACAAAATTGCAACATCCCCATTTGGTATTCGTTAAGCTAATGATGACTCCCCTTGGACACGGAAATTTGTGACTTTTTGTCAATAACATACGAAACACTGTTAGGTTTCACTTGAAAATTTCCCTTCTGCCAATTCCCTTCCATTCCGAAGCGTACATATATTTGTAATGTCGAGGCCTTTTATAGCTGACTATGCGGTATGGGTTTTGCTCATTGTTGAAGGCCGTACGGTGACCTATAGTTGTTAACTTCTATATCATTTGGCCTCTGGTTGAGTGTTATCTGATTGGCAAACATACCACATCGTCTTATTTTTATATAGCTTGAAAACGTCTGATCATGTGAACAGTATGTAGTCTGGTTACCTGACACAATTTTTTCAATACCGTAAGCGGACTTATATTTTTAAGTGCCACATGTGGAGCAGGATCTGCTTACCCTTCCGGAGCACCTGAGATCACCCCCAGTTTTTGGTAGGGTTCGTGTTGCTTAGTCTTTAGTTTTCTATGTTGTGTCATCTGTACTATTGTTTGTCTGTTTGTTTTTTTTATTTTTGGCCATGGCGTTGTCAGTTTGTTTTCGATCTATGAGTTTGACTGTCCCTCTGGTGTCTTTCGTCCCTCTTTTAAGTAAAGATTGCCAAATCGAAAACTATTTACCAGGACAACGATAATGTTTACCATAAGAGAAATAGTTATTATGTATTTAAACAAACTCATGAAAAAAAGGTATCACTTGATATCAACTCTCGTTATTTAATTTCAATAATATTAATAAAATTTTATAAAAGAAATTCAGTATGATCCAACCAACCCCCCCCCCCCCCCCCCCCCCCCCCACCACCCCACCCCCCAAGTGCAATTTGAAATTCAATTTCTACTATAATTCTGATTCAAAATTATATAAATGTATTCCCGTTTTCAGCTTCTCATTCAAAAGAAACCGGTTTGACTTTTCTAGGTAAATCGACGCATTCCTAGTAAACTTGAAATTCGTGATATATAACTACTGGATTATAGATGTTAGACAAAGAGTATCAAACAGAACACGTTGAATGCCAGCACCCGAAAACGTATGGATACCAGCATCCACAAAATAACTGGGAGATTATCAGCAACATTCCTCTAATTAATTTTAATTTGAGATGATATATAGAACATAAATCAAAGATAAATGTTATCATTACTATTGTATGCATGCAACTACAGAAAAAAGTTGTATCCAGACTGTTTAGGGTTTTTCGGGGTATTAGAGCTTGTTCGCTCAAGTTTTTTAATATATCTTAACTATTAAAGTATATACTGTGATTTCTTTTTTAATTCTACGTAATACGTACAGATACGTGTATATTGTACAAAGATATTTTTTTTGCACAAATTTAAAACTATTTCACTTCATTGTATTTTCTACATGGTTTTTATTTTTTACATAATCAAACACCAAAAGGCAACACATCTTGGCCTTTTCATCGGCCAT